CAGGGGGGGAATTTGACCATGACAGTGGGGGTGACACCCCTATTCTTTTTAAGAAAGAGCCTGGGATTTTAATTGACCACAGAGAGTCAGCACCTCAGTTTTACATCTCATCCAAAAAACAGCACCTTTTTTCCAGCATAGTGTCTCCGTCACTGTACTGTTAGGACCCACACAGACCGCAGGGTGAGTGCTCCCTACTGGTCCCACTAACATCTCTTCCAGCAGGAACCTTAGCTTTCCCAGGAGGTCTCCCAACTAGGTACTGGCCAGGCTCACACCTGCTTAGCTTCAGTGTGTTGTACGGTGTGTGAGCGGCAGGGTGATATACAGTAGCTGCTGGGTGTAAGCTATAGGAGAATGTTACCATGCCTTTAAGTATGGTGAGGTCCATTATTGTGAAGTAGAATATGTGTCATACCAGCCAGATGCTGCCAAAGTCAGACCATCCTTCTAAACTAAGTAGCTGAGATAGTAGGAAACTGTGAAATTATATATCTGAGATGAGAGACAGTTTTCCTGCATTAGTGATATTTCTATCAGGATGTCAGGACAGACGGCATTACTGAAAGAGTTCAAAACAATGCATGTAAGAAATACTACAGTCTTGTGCCAGGTGATTTTATGGTCAGATGAGACAATTTAAATTGTTCTGAATGCAAATCATTATATCTGGTGCATACCAATACAATCAGTCAACACTATCCCAACTGTCAAATACAGTGAAGGCAACAATGTTTTGGTGCTGCTTCTCATCAGCAGTGACTGGGAAGCTTTTCAGGACTGAGGAAAAAATGGATGGTGCATTAGTACAAGTGAAATCTAAACAAAAGCATACTCCCAAGAATATAGACCTGGGTTGAAAATTTCAGTTAGGCCTGAGCAACAAGCCACTAGGCCAAAGTCACCCTGGAGAGGTTTCACAAGAACAAAGTCCTGACTGAAATCTAAAATGTATGTATGAAAATGAATGGTGAGACCTGAAGATTGCTTGTCCATTAAACAATCTCCAGTCATAACTTGTCATAACTGGATCAATTTAACAGAAATAATCGACAGAAAATATACCATCTCCCAAGCAAGGCTGGTATACCCCCAAAAAACACTCACAGCAGTAATTACTGTCAAAGGTGCTTCCAACATTGTGGGACTTGATACTATATCTTCTTTGCAGGTGTTGCTGACAGATGGTCTTCACAAGTGTTCAGTGTGATCATTACAGTTTGAATAAAATAATAATTTGAGAATGCATATGCATTATCTGTAGTCTACATGGAGCTTTATTGGTAGGGAGTAAAAACTTTTGCAAGGCACTCTATGTATAAATCTCTATAATCAGGCTATACAAATGGCAGTTCACAACAAATTACATGAAGTAATAGATACAGGTATTGAGATAAAAAATACATTATTTTTGTTCTAGGATAGGATATCGATCGGAAGGTCACTGAGGAACACAATATTCCCCGACATGCCATGGAAAGAGGTGAATAACCGGGAAACATCCATCCATTTCCTAGTTGATTTATCCAATAAGGGTCGCATGGTAGGCAGAACCTAAACTGGCAAGCGATGGACACAAACCGGGATAAACCTGGACAAGACACCAGTCCATCAAAGGGCACACACAGACACAAACCCTCACACCAGGGCCAGTCTTCCCAGAAGCTAATTCACCTACCAGTGTGTCTTTGGACTGTGGCAGGAAACTGGAGCACCCGGAGGGAACTCCAGCGAATGTGCGAACATACAAACTGCATGCGAAAAGTACAGGAATGGAATGCAGGGCCCCAGGCTAATCACTGTGCCCCCATGCCGCCCAAATGAGAAACAGTTGGAGGTAATCCAACCAACTTTTCTGAAATGCATCTTCCCTCATGCGTGTAACTGAAATCCTCATCCCTGTAGATAACCTTTGAAGTACGTTATTATTATGCTGCTGATGATAATGTTACCAGTTCTTTCTGGTGATATGGAAATGGAAACTTTACAAAATTTAAACCTCCTGTTTCCAAAATATCCAGAAATTTTATAAAAAACGATTTTATGATCTAGCAGCAGCTTTCCTGGTCAGTCAGTTCACAAAAGACATTCTCCTGATATATACAAATGTGAAAATTAACACAAAGAACCCAATTTTGTCAAAATCAGAAGACTTTCTGAGTTTGGAGAGTTATATGTATAACTCTGATTAAATATATCTGCTCTCATATATATATATATCAAAGGGTCATGATTGTTTAATCATGATTGTTAATCTCGCTTTTTTCATCTCCATCCAAAAATGTTTAAATCATGAGAGTTGTTGAAGATAGCAACCAAATCAGAAATCCTACTTTGTTTTTTCAATGCTAAATGACATCTGTTGTTTTTTGAGTGATTACAAGTGGACTGATGATACAGTCACTGACCCTATTAATCCTGGCAAGGCAAAGTCTCTTTAACAAATACAGCACACACTCCTGCGAAGTGTGCAGGTCTAATCTTAACTTACACCCTTGTAGCTTTTAAGAGTTTTAAAAACTAAAGAATTTTTTTTTCTTTAGGATCTTTTGATTTTAATTAAAATATTTTCCATAGTAGAACAGTAGAAATTCCTCTTTCCTTTTAGTAGTATAAAAGGTATAATTCTTCTAAAAATTGTAGAATTGCAACTTTTTGGCTGTTCAAAGTGGAATTCAGTTGAAGGGTGTTTCAGTGTTGCTTTATTGTTCAGTATAATGCATTAAATATATGAAGGAACAGACATTTTAGAATTAATACTTGTGTTAACTTGTGTCTTTGTAATTATAGTATGAAAAACACTGTCAGCTTACAGATTTATATATACAGTATTTACTGGAATACAGCAGAATTCATACCAGAAATTTGGTACTTGTAAAACATGAAGATCTATTTTAATGCATATATTTAAAAAAGAAAAATCACATTTTTCACCTGTAGCAAACACAGAACATCTGTTAGTCTCCTGACAAAATAAATAGGGAATTACTTTGTGTTTTGTTCCCTCACATTACCTACACCCTGACATGAGAAGATGCCTCTTATCAGAATGTCCACCTTAGGTAACGGAGTGTCTCTCAGGACATCTGGCAGTAAGAGCAAAGTCAGTTGAGGCTGAATCCTTGTTGTTTTAAATGCCATGACTCTGAAAATTGTTCATGACCAGCTTTGAACCCCTAATACCTCAAGTGATCAATGGGTCCAGGCAATAAAATGATGGAAAACCTTGTTTGTGGATCCACTGTCAGGGAGTAGTGAGTGAGAGTCAGGAAAACCACAGGCAGCCAGGGAGAATACACCTGAACTGGGCACAAGTTACAGTAGCTTGGGGACTAAGGGACAAATTGCAATAAATAATGGTAACTGAGTGGGCATGGTTGAAAACTACCGTGGACAATAAAGATGGTACCCAAAAGAACCCGTTTGAGACTCAGATATACAACAGGACTTCAGAGGAGTTTAGAAAGAATGTACTGGAAAAAAACCCACAGCTCAGCAAGATGCTGATATTGTCCGCTGTGTACCACTCTGCGCTGATCAGGGATGGAGAGGAAAGTGTGCCGTGTTATTCAAGAAATGTGGCACTGGGATTTCATAGTGACCAAACAATGAGGGGAGATGAAGAGGGACGGTATAAAAGATTTCTCCCAAATGGAGATATTGTTCTGGGGAGCCTTGAGCATTTTCGATGTAAATCAGAGAAGAGAACTGTCTCACTCTCTCAGTGGGACTACTGGACAGAATGCAGCTCCATGCCTGAATTTGCAACAGAGGAGAGCACTGGGCGAAAAAACAATGGTAATTAAAATTTTAAGATTTTCAAAAGAATGCCTGGGAGCCATTGATTATGGAGTTTGATGTTATAAAATGTGTTGTTGTAAAATGAAGAAAAGTATTTGCGATTAAGAACTAATTATTTAGTGTAAAAAAATTGAATTGCTGTGAAGGGCCATTTTAATTTTACAGGTTTAAAAAAAGAGGAATTTAGAAAAATTGTCAGAGAATAGTTCACCGTAACATGCAGCACTATAGATAACTAAATATACCTAAAATTGACTGTTCCCTTAAAGCTGTAAAAAGTATATTTTCTAATAGACATTCAGTAGCAGTGCCTTTGTAGGTATCATTCAGTAGCAGTGCCTTTGTAAGTTTACAGCTCTACAGACTGTGAATCCTGACTGAATCCAATAACTGGGATGTGCTCATGTGAGCACTGAAGTGGTGATTTTACTACACAAGGTGTATCTGACTGCGCTCCACCAAGCTGAAAGTGGTTACACATTGTCTTTGAAGTCTTCGTCTCTGATTCTCATTCCAACCGTGCACCTCAATGCTGCAAAATTGCCTTATATTTTTCAAGATGAATAATAGGAAAAAACATTGTGGTGACTGCTGAAAAAGAAGGGATGAAACATCCACTATAAAAAAATGGAGGGACTTGGAATGTTACCAGAAGAGTGTAATGCCCTACTTTGTCACGTGCTTAGAGACATCTTGTCACTTCACATAAACTCCTTTAACGGTAATAGAAAGATTAGTGTCCTGTGAGGGACATCACCTCATCAAAAAGTTAAACTGGTATAAGAACCCTTTTTCTCATCAGATTTACCTCAGACACCCTTGCTATTAACAGATGCTTAGTGGTGATTGTGTTATCGCCTTATTGCAGGCTGTCTGAACCATAGTTCATTCATTTGACTTGATGTGAGGTTCTTAAACAAACAAAGCTATTGGATTTATTGAGTACAATAATTCGTAATGGTACATTGATGCAGATTTATTTAATTCTTTCTATTGTTTTTTTATAAAATAATGCTGATTGTAGAGGTTAAAACTAAATACTCAGGCAGAATGGTTTTATATACAGTATATATAGGTACATACAGATAATGTAATCTGTCATGCCATTTAGTAATGTATTTAGGCACTTATCAAGTTTGAAATCAAACGTATTGTTATTTCAATATATTGAGATGAAAAGCCTTGCTCTTATGAATATCTCAAAATGGCTTTTTATTGAATAATATTGCGAAATTGCACATGCTCTGAAATGTGTAGTACCTTAATATGTTGTTAAAATATTGATTTTACAGTAATGTTATATTTAAGGCATTCCTTTCTTTTTTTTCCCCAAGTTCCTGCAGAAAGACAAAAAAGGGGTTGCCCTCCTTTGACAGCTGTTTAATGGCAAAATGATTAAATTCTAATGTAATGAACCTCCAAGTCTAATGAAATGACTGAAGTTGCGGTTTAACCTTAATGTTAAGCCATATACATTACACAACAAAAAAATGCTTCTGTAATTGAATTGGCCTAATTCTGGAAAGCAAGCGGATCTACAAATTGTCTTCTTCCCTGAGAGACTCTAAATCTGTTTGTTTTGGACCTCATTAGCTTTGAGTCAATGTTGTCTTTTCTTAAAGAGCCCCTGGTGCAAAATTGACTTTGTATAATTTTATTTCTTTTTACCAGTAGCTCTTGAATATGTAAAAAAGTGTCTTGATTAATTGTTGTGTAATCAATTATATGCTGTAGTTTCATATATATTTCATATGTGTAAGGATCTTGAAGTAGAAGCTAAAAACATTGTTTAAAATTATTTTTAGTTTTTTTTCTCATTCTTTTCTCAGTCTCTGTTCTGTTCTTCCTTGACAACTTTTGTAGTGCTTAGACATTTCTTTTTCTTGAACTATTCCATTCTAAGAACACTCAGAAGTATACTTGCTAAACATATCCCGAAAGTCCAAAGCATGATAGCCAACGGTTTCGCACTTGCCATACGGCTAATACTGTAAAACATAATCAATATGGCTGATAGCAGATTAGGATGATTGAAGAAGTATGCCATAATGGAATCAATACCGGTAAGTAAGTAAGCAAGCTTTCCAAAGTGTTAAACCAGATTTGGGGATTTCCTTTAATCCCTCAAGAATCATTCTTCCTGATAAACGGTTTGTTAGTGAGACAAACAAAAACAAAACTATGCGAAAGATGTCAGTTTGCAACTTCAGAAGCGGTTTGTTTCCAATTATCCAGTCAGGTTAGGAAGACATTTCATGTAAAGACATTTTCCAGAGTGAGTCCTGAAGGCTCAAAGAGGAACACATACAGTAGTGCGACATCTTTACCTGTCTGTCTTCCTTCCAGGAATTAGTACCCGTCACAGATTAGAACCCTCGCCTGTCATAAATCTGCTTTCCACTTTGTTTGATTGCTGGGAGGGGTTGACTGGGTTCCCATATATATAGCGGATTCTAGCACTTGAGGTGCTGTACAGCAAATATTGTTTACATTAATGTTGAGATTTAGAGGTAGAACGCGTGTGGGCTTTTTGTTTCATGTCAGTTTTTCTAGCAGCATTTTCCAGAAACACTCTTAAATAATTCTTAATCCTTTGTCTTTTTAGAATTGTTTTTAAGTACAAGTGCGGCCTGTGCTGCCAGTGAGATGAACTATTGCATGCAAGAGATGTATGAAATGCACCATGCTATGGGTAGCAATTTCCCTGTGCAGCCTGTTGACTACTGCATGTACACAAGTGAAAGCCAGGGTTACAACAATTGCGATCCACAGGTTCTCCATAATAATGCATGTATGGAGCAGGCCTGGGTACCGAATCAGCCTTATACCTGTAGTTACCCTGGAAACGTGTTTAAAAGCGAATTCTGCAATATGGACATGGCCTTGAGTCACTGTCACCAGACAGACTATTTCACAGACGGAAAAATTGATTTTTCTGAAGTTCAGTGGACACCAGAGTCACAGAAAAAAGGTATGGCTTTGACTTCATGTTTTTAGCCTTGTGTGTCTTGCTGAAGACTACTGAAAGGTAAACCCCACAAATAAAGATGGAAAGTGATTGGAAGTTCTAAAAAAAAACATAATTCAGAACCATCTTGGTATTTTTTTATTTTTCACATGAAGGCTTCCTTTATTTTTGTTTCAAAATTAAAGCCTTAGGCAAAAGCAACTTTAAAAACACTTTTTTTAGACTAAAGTTTAGCTTTGCAATTATTCTGTGTATACTATTAAATGTACTTCGTTTTACGTCATGGTTTCAAGATCATGCTGCTGTATTTTCCATGCTGAGAAGTGCTAGTATGAAATGTAGCTGGTAGCTCTGAAAATGAAGTGCAATACCATTCTTAATAGACCTGAATAAGATGCTCTGAAAGTACTTGCAAGTCTTTTAATTTACAAGTTGTACTGTAAAGATGTACTGTATGTGACTGCAAATTAATTTCCAAGCAAGAAATGAAATAGGTTTCAGAAAACAACAAATGGTCTTTAATTGACTATTTTCATCAAGTGTTACAAACTCAATGTTTTTTTTTTAATGTTTTGTTGATTTTTGCTTAAAGTATTGCCCTTTTGGAGTACTCACAGGAAAAAGAGTGAATTATATTTTAAGGCAATCATGTGCATTTGAAAGCCTTCTGTTTAATATAATTTATCTATTGGTAGCTAGTTTTGCATTGTATATTTATAAAATAAAGTGATCTGCTTTTTTAGACAGCTGTGTACAGTTCTTACATAAATTTCAAGGTTGTCCTGAGCTAATGTAATATTTAATTTGTCATGGAAGCTTTTAAAGATGCTACAACATTGCATCTGGCTTTTCTGAGAGAAATGAATCTAAAAAAATAACCTTGTGAGGCAAACACTCATTTATTGCCAAATACATTAAAAGTAAAAAAGGTTAAAAACCATTAAGAATTCATGCAGTTTCCAACTGACTCCAATTACATATGTTGTGTTGTGTCACCTGTTAATATGAAGCTGAATGAGACATTTATTGAACCGATAACTCCAGACTGTTGGACAGAAGGCTGTTCAGCTTCATTGTTCCAGTTCTCCTCTTCCAGGTTTTCATTGATCAGATATTGATTTTTTGTTAGAAGTGTCTGACGAGAGGCTGGTTTGCCTGAAGAAATTGCCCCCCCCCCCTTCTTCTTTTCATAATCCATTTTGTATTGTTTATTTAATCCTTTATCTGTTTTGGATCAGACAATGGATAACAAACTATTAAGCATCCCTCTTTTCTTATTTTTAGCAGTAAGTTCTGTAGTATTTTTTGTGGCTTTCTAATATTTTCTATATAGAAGCTCACTTTTATCTCGTTAGCTTCATCATACTTATTTAAAATAAAATAGTTGTGTTACTCTTTTTAATTATGTGTCTTATGATTGAGAAAAATAATTAAATTCAATTACTTGCACTACATTTGAAGTATAGCATTTTTTGTTTTAAATGAAAAATCTAATCACAGATAATGCTGGAGTTTATAAGACTCAAGCAAAACAAATGTTGCTTCAACTTTTCAAAGCTACATTAGGTCATTGTTGACTTAACATACTAACATCGTTAGTACTAATTTTTCTGCCTTTTAATTGTTCTATTCTAATCCTAATTGCTTTATGAGTGACATAAATGTAAAAAAACAGCTTCAGTACATTTCCATTTTTCTGTTGGTAACACAACCTTAACTCTGCCCATAAACTAAGCCGTGCCCAGTTTGCACTGTGTCAGATATGTTTGGAGTTAATGTATGCATGTTTTCATCATAATCATGTATTGTAAGTTTTCAGCATTGTGTTTTTTTTTGTAAGAAACAGGATTTAATCAAGCGTTCATTGGCTCAAATATTTCACAAAATAATTTGCTAATCTTTTGTCTTCCCTTTCAGTGTGAGAATTAGGATGGCTTTAAGAATTGTAAATTGTAAAAATTGTAGTAGCCATATGAAACAAAAATCTTTCTTGACAAAAAGGTTGAATACTCAGTTGGGAACATCGCATCTTTTAATTTTGTTTTTTAGGGTACATACCAAGTTACTTGGATAAGGATGAGTTGTGTGTAGTGTGTGGTGACAAAGCAACTGGATATCATTATCGCTGCATCACCTGTGAAGGCTGCAAGGTAAATTTTAAGTCATTCTCTAAAATAATCTTTTTTTGTACTTCTAATTTTTATAAAAGTTAAAAAATTTGATAGTAGCATGTTTTCTAACTAAAATGTGATGGTGTTGCAGTATAGATGAGAGAGTTGTAGGATCCTACATTTCATTTCCTTCATTTTTCCCATCATTGGTAATTATAACTTTCCCTTTTTAGGGCTTTTTCAGGAGAACTATTCAGAAAAATCTCCATCCAACATATGCCTGCAAATACGAGGGAAAGTGTATTATAGATAAAGTCACAAGAAACCAGTGCCAGGAATGTCGGTTCAAAAAATGTATTGCAGTTGGCATGGCAACAGACCGTAAGTGTGTTCACATTTTATAATTACACCATTAGTGTTGAACTTCAGCTGACTTATTTTAGTGGGTTTATTAAGACTCTCACAGAAATACAAGGTTTCATATAAAAATTTGAGCTAATGTACAATACAATTTTACTTTTATTCCCACAATGACACAAAAAGAGTAATGTGAATCTGCTGAAAATTAGACAACAAGGCTACAACGTACAGTAACAAGCTTTACCTTATCTTATATCACAGAAGTGATACAAACATGAAATACCAATACTTTGTTTAGCATTATTTTATTCATTATTTACAATGATGTAAGACAAGAACAGATAAATCAATAAATCACTTAGAATAAAATACGTGTATTCAGCATTGCATTCAAATCAACACTGTTATTCAGAAGCTTTTCCAGAACCAAAGCAAAGCTTCTACACATTTGCAATTTTAGAGTGTTATATTTGTAATAAAAGCTGTGATCCTCTAGCACTAACAGTTTTATAGAGTTTTCCATTTTTTGAATTGATTTAACAAATTTCACAAAATAGTATATCATCTATGATATTTTTCCTGTATTTTGAAGCAAAATTGGGTACAATTACAGTAGCATTCGTTTTCAATAGATAACAACACTGCTCATAATTTTTGTATCTACATTTTAGAATTCTGCTTTCCATTTTTATGCAGCTTTATATAATTTCAAGAACAGAGCCATAGATTGCTTGAAACATTTTTCAAATCTCAGAAACATTTATTAATGCCTTTATTCACTCTGTGACATCAAGTCTTTCAATATACTTTTTTTCTCGGTTTTAAAATTCACTTTTGACATATTTATAAACTTCATTGTGCATAGTTATATTTAGCAAAGCCCTAAAGCACAGTGGCGTGCTTCTTTCACGAACCTACTTTGATTTTACAGCCCCTGGCTGAAAAAAGACACTAGGTTCTGCTGACTGTTCTAGGTTCTGGGATTTTCAAAGTCCACCAAAGGCGCGAAAAACTTCATCGGTTTCGTTTTTGACAGTGGTTTTGGACGACAGCAAGCGCCTGGCAAAGAGGAAGCTGATCGAGGAGAACCGAGAGCGGCGTCGGCGTGAGGAGCTGCAGAAGTCCGTGTGGAGCAAGCCGGAGCCTTCTCAGGAGGAGTGGGAGCTCATCCGGGTGGTAACAGAGGCACATATGACCACTAACGCACAAGGCAACCACTGGAAACAGAAACGGAAATTTCTGGTGAGAAGAGTTCCGTAACTTTTTTTTGGTTTGTTTTTCATTTTAGTGTGTTATGTTCGTCTGGGTGTTAATATTTCCATATTTCTTTTTAGAAGGGCAAAGTGCCAGAAGTTGGCGACCTCTTCCGAGGAGGCAGACAGAAACTGATTGTGTTCCATATTTATGCTTGTTTCTTGTGGATGTTCAGTGATTTAAAAGCAAAAGAAATAGGAAAGCTATTTCTTGATGGAGTTGTTGCCGTATCGATGTAGTTTCTTCCTTCATCTTCTGAAATCCAAGTATCTTTAGAGATGGTTTCTTGCGTTCAGGTGTTCAAACATTTTCCCTACAGATATCTGTGTAGCTAGTTTATAAAGTTTGTATTTGAATATTTCAGAGTAATATTTCATTTTTCAGAGTAAACGTTTCTGTTTTTTGAGTTGACTTGGGTTCTTCATTGAAACTTCACAAACCCTGTTGATTGTTCAACAGGTTGAAGAAGCAAAGCTACTTAATGCAATAACTTGTAATTTATTCTATGCTTCTGACCAGAGTGCAGTGGGGGTGGAGAATTCAAAGGTAAGCAACAGTGGACCAAATTTGTTGAGCATCTAAAATGTTGCAAATATTACATTTTAGGCACAAGTGCATATAAACGTTGTTACAATTTCTTTTGTGGAAGTATGTCTAGTTCATAAACAAGAAAAGTGTTGATTGGAATGTATTCAAAGTGCGTCATATTCAGCTGTGCATTGGGAAATTATTATTTTTTTATTATTGTTTGATTAATAGAACAAACAATGGAACCTGCTGTTGCACCTCCCTATCTTATTTCTGGGCACCAGTGCTTTTTCCCCACTCAGTAGTAAATCATGTTTCTTCTGGTCAGAAGTATGTGGACAATGATTGAAATGTACTATACACCATCTGAACGATGTATCAGTGAAAAACCCTAGTCAAATATTTAACTCCTTCAGGCATATGGTGTAACACTATTTTTGTACTGCTCAAAACCTTCAGTCAGAAAGGTCAATGAGCCTTTTTCTATTGAATCGTTTTTCTGCTTTCCTGAGTAGGACATTTTCTGTTTGACTTATTCCACTGATATTGTTTTTTAAAGACTTCAAGGTCTGATACGCCTTCAGCAGATTTGAAGGATTATCACATCCTCCTGCTGTTGGTAAATTCCATGTTCTGAATATTGTCAAATATTAAAAGAATCCTCTGTAATTTTGCAGCCAGAAGACATTGGTCAAGCTCCAATAGTGAGTGCATCAGAAGGAAGCAAAGTGGACATAGAAGCCTTTAGTCAGTTTACGAAAATCATCACCCCTGCCATCACAAGAGTGGTGGACTTTGCCAAAAAGCTGCCTATGTTCTGTGAGGTAAGTCTCTAGAAATGTTGGCTGCTCTACACATATGAGACCATTGTGCCAAAGGTTGACAAGTTTGGCATCAATGTTAGAGATAATCTGGTAATCTGCTTCCTCCTACATGGGATAATCAAGCATGAGGGCACAGTGTTCTTGAAAGGAAAACACGTTGCTGGATTAGTCGTAAAACCAAGACCCTACCTGCTTTGAAGCTTATGAATGTATTTTGCCCTGTGAAAAAATATGAAGCATCAGAACCATTTTACCCAGCCCTTATCTGAGAATCTCAACTTTCGAACTAATGTCAACAAAGCAAGGTGTACACAAAGGCTGTGGGTTGAACTCCCAACTGCTGTTGTACTCTTGAGCAAGGTACTTTAATTGGATTGCTACACTAAAAATCCCTCTCCAGTAGGCCTCACTGTGTGGTCTCTTGGCAATGTGCAGCCACTTGTGCTTTGCTGCCTGGGGAATCCTGGTCACAGTCTAATGCCATGAACCAGTCTCAAAACCATGATCATAGATCTCAACCTGCACTCGAGCTAGAGGTCTGGCCTTTTAAATAGTGTAAAATATAACTTTTACATAATAAAATACATTCATCAGCTTCAAACAGAGATTTACAAGATGCACAGTATGTAAGCTATTTTCATATTTTGGGATTAGAAAGAATCAGCATTGATGAGTACATTTCAAACTGCAGTGAAGGTCAAATGTACACAGTAACTTAACATTACAAAATAAACAAAATGTCCAGGTATGCGCTGCACTATGTTCTGTAATTAAAAACAAGGAAACAAAACTTCCAGTGACTTGTGCAGCACTATGACATTGTAATCAGGCTTGTGAATACGTCTTTTAATCCAATAAAAATATTGCTTTCAATTTCGAGACGGTTTTGCCAGAAAATACTACTTATTTGCTATCTCTGCATTGCACATCATGTTGGAACATTTCTGCAGTGAATTGTCTGCAGCACAACCTGTATTTATCACATTAGTCATTGTAGAGACTGGTGAGCAGGAAGGGCCACATCACGTCGCAATTCATGGGACCTCGAATGCAAGTTTGTGACAACATGGAGACTTACAGTACTTTCACAAAGTTCACGATTTTGTGCTTAATTAAAAATTTGTCATTTTTTTTCTGCAACGTCAATTAATTTTTTTTTTTATCAAGATTAAATAATCAGTCTGAGAAATTGGAACTGCAATTCCCCTTTTATATACTGTATAACCCCTGATAGTTTATGTAAAGCTGTTTTAATGAAGTGAACCAAACTCAATCATGCGGGTATATACTGTAAGGTATTGTGATTCCTTGGTTTCATCTTTCCCTTCATAGTTGCCATGTGAAGACCAGATAATCCTTCTCAAAGGCTGCTGCATGGAAATCATGTCCCTCCGTGCAGCAGTGCGCTACGACCCTGAGAGTGAAACTTTAACCCTGAATGGTGAGATGGCTGTCACCAGGGGACAACTTAAAAATGGAGGCCTTGGTGTAGTGTCTGATGCCATTTTTGACCTGGGCATGTCTCTGTCCTCTTTTAACCTGGACGACTCAGAGGTTGCTCTTCTTCAGGCTGTAATTCTGATGTCCTCAGGTAAGACCATGTTGAAAGAATTCAGTGCGTTTGTCAGTCTTTCCCATACTTTACAGTACTTTTACAAGAAGTATTATTTATAGTTCACCACTTTTAGATGAATACAATCAGAATTATTATATCATTTGAAGAATTAGTGCCGTATGCCTATTGAACATTCCTTCAGTGTTCTTACAAATGTCTATAGTAAGGTTCTCTTTATTGAATACCATGAATACTATGGCCTTCTTTAACAAATAAAATGATTATTACAAAGAATGATAACTGTACTTAGGATATATATAACTAGAATTTTTTTAATTTAGTTTTGAGTTGAAAATTAGTTTAGTAGAAATGTAAAAGCTTAAGAAAACACACAATTATTTATATTAGGACAAAATAAAAAAAACCTGAATTAGTACCACTCTACTGTATATCTGACTATCCCCCCATTTTTATAGCAAAAACAACAATGTCGGGGTAATGCCATTTTATTTAAAGAATTTTGTTATAGAAATCCAATCCAATTTATCATTCAGACTACAACATTTAAATCACATTAATAAAAAAGTCATACTATTAAGCCTAGAATGGATTACTGAGAGAATTGGTCTAACCCAGTGCAACTAGAAGCTTTACTGATTTAAAAATCTTACCAGTGATGCTAAACTAATGTCACACATAATCCATATTTCTTATCACACTCAAAAGGGTTATCCTAATTGTAGATACCCAGTAGTAACAGCATTACTAAGTATTAGGGCCATTTCATTGTGTGATTATTGGGGATTACTGAATTTTATTGAAGGGAAACCCCTCATAAAAAGATTAAGAGGAATTGTGATGGAAACATGGTATTAAGGATCGATTATTTTAGTAATGCAGTCATGCAAAAAAAGAACAGGCATTAAGGACTTTTTTTTTCCTGGATATACAGGGGAAAAGGCTTTGCTTTATAATTTTATTGTTATTACAATTAAGAAAAATAATTTGTAAACCTCAAAGTTTAACTTTAAAACATTAGAATCTTGCATTTATCAAGAAGCTGTGATAGAAGTACTATAAAAGCAGTATATTTTCCTCATGATACTCTGCAAGTTTGCCAGTATCATTTCTGAATATTGGGACATTCTATGCATTCTGCGTGTTTAAGGATGAATTTGTTTAGAGAATTTAAAATTGTTTTAGAAGTATAACCATTCTTCTGCTTTTGTTTCTGAACACAGCTGTTTCTTGTGTCTTGCATGCTCTTCATTACTTCACATTCTGCTTTTTTTAAATGATAAATAAAACATTTTACATTTACACATACATTTTACAAATTTAAAATCTTTATGAAAATACACCATATTATGGTCACAAGTTTCCCAGTGTTCAATCACATCTACTCCCTTAGTTTTATTCTGGCTGTTTAAAATGATTAGGTAAATATGAATATCGTTCCAAGTTGGAGCTTTTACAAATTAGGTTAATCATTAACCACTCCAATCATATCAGTTACTGCTCCTGTATCCCAATCACAATAACCACTTTATGTTTGGAAAGTTGAAATGTTCCAGTAAAATAATGTCATCTTTGCTACATAACTTCTTGATGTCATATAGTAAGATGTGTGTACCCATGTCTGCATTAGGTGGTCTACAGCACACACCTAGTGTTAAGTACCTAGAAGTTATATTTCCTAGATAAAATCATATTGATTCTGAACTTTCCGAGCCCTCTTGCTTCTGTTCTCGTGCTTGCAGGCTATTTTGGTATATGCCCCTCCACCACCTCTCCTATCCTGCATGTCTTGCTGAAAAATGTTCTGTCCATTTATATTCATCCCCATCAGCTTCTCTTAGCCATGTTTCAGTTATTCCTGTAATGCCCTATTTTTCTGGGTATGCAGTAACCTTGAGGTCATGTATTTTATTCATTTTACATTTAGCCTTGAGATTTAAGTACTTAAGAAAGCATGTGTTATATATTGTAACGCAATGGGGGCTCAGGCGGGCGCCCTTGCCGCATCTGGTCGGCCCCATCCCGACTGGAGGCTCGAACCCGGGACTTCCGCGTCTCTCTGCAGCGACCTAGCCCCGTGAGCTAAAGAGAGATCTCTCTACAGCCCAGTAGCTGTGGTCCTGCTATCACAGGGAAGGGCGGTGACGTCACCCGCTCTGGTACGCCGGCTCTTACACACAGTGCTTGTCGGCCCGTAAGCGTTACACTCTCCCCCGCTTAAATCACCGTCCCCAGCGAAGGGCTATCCCACCCCGCTTCTGACACCAATGTAACGCAACGGGGGCTCAGGCGGGCGCCCTTCCGCATCTGGTCGGCCCCATCCCGACTGGAGGCTCGAACCCGGGACTTCCGCGTCTCTCTGCAGCGACCTAGCCCCGTGAGCTAAAGAGAGATCTCTCTACAGCCCAGTAGCTGTGGTCCTGCTATCACAGGAAAGGGCGGTGACGTCACCCGCTCTGGTACGCCGGCTCTTACACACAGTGCTTGTCGGCCGTAAGCGTTACAATATATACAGTATATGTCATTTTATAGTACAGGTTCCCGTGGTCCTTTGGTTGAATTGTCCCCACCTGCTCTAAGCGCATCAGTATCATCTGGTACAGGTTCAACCCACCCTGCTTGCACATTTACCCTGGAAGCATACCTCATGCCCCATAAACAAGAACCCCCTTTCTCTGCACTCATCATTTAGTCTCATGTTAAAACTTCACATTTTCTCTTGCTCACCTGGGCTTGCACATGGCACCTGTAGGTTTCCGAAGAAGGTCGCTGTAGTCATGTAAACCTTTAATGTAATTATCATCCTGTTTTGATTGGTGTCATATGTTCCAACCCATTACAATTGGATCCACTTTGTCTCTGGCCACAAACTAGTCGAATTCAATGTCTTGAAAATACTTGAAGAGTGCTATATTCTGTCATTTTTAATATGCTATGAAACAGTTTTTAAACTTTATTTTTTACAGCTGTCCCTCTCCAGCCTTCTACTGAATGCTACAGCATATGTTTTTTTTTTCAAAATTCTGTTTCTACCATAAAAAACATAATAAGGAGACCAATAATCCAGGTGTTGTGAGTTCGAGTCAAGGTCACTTCAACGCTGACTGTAACCAGGATTCCCCATTCAGTGGCGCACAATGAGCTGAGTACCGCTGAGAGTAGGGTTGGATTAGTCTGCCAAGGCTCTCTCAGTTCCTGGTGACACAGCTACCCCTGTGGCATACTGTGTGCTTCCAGGCTGACAGTGCTCTAAGGTACATCTTTAATTTACAGAGGTACTGTAGGCTAAGAAACTCATACAGGAATGAGTGTAGTTTAATACAGGAGGAGAGAAAGTTGATTTGGGTCCTGGGCAAGGTGGTAGAAATGACAGAGACAAATGAGACAGCATCACCGTCTTAAACTGAGATATTATACATAAAATGATATAAAACTGACAAAAAAAGTAATTTTAGAATGACTATGATATAATACAAAACTATGCAGCATGCAAGGTCACAGTCACTTCTTGTGTTCAAGTTTTAATTCCAAAATCAAAGCAAGCTTGTGTTATCGGTAACAAAGCAAGTCTTGATTTTTTAATTTTATACATGTATACAAATGATGAGAAGAACTGAAATGAGGATGTTGAGATGGATTCTGCAGATTTCAATGAACAATGAAGGATAAGATCAGAAATGAAGAAATCCGTAGACGATGTAGGGTGGTGGATGTGGTTGAGAAGATGCGAGAGGCGAGGTTACGGTGGTATGGACATATCATGAGGAGGGACGTTGAGGAAGTAACAAAGAGGGTAATGGAATTTGAGGTGGAAGGTAACAGAGGAAGAGGCAGGCCTAGAAAGAGATGGATAGATTGTGTGAGAAAAGATATGGAGGTATGTGAAGTGAGTGAGGAAGATGTGCTCGACAGAGACAAATGGAGAAGAGCAACCAAAGCAGCTGACCCCAGGACAGTCTGGGACTAAGGCTGTGAAAAAGAAGAAGAAGAAGAAGAAGAAGAAGAAGACATGTATACAAATACACTGATTTGTGTAATTATAAGTGTTTCTGTAAAGACTGAAGAAATGTTGCTGAAATACAAAGTCTAAACTTGCATGGATTCATAAATGAGTTGAAATAGCTCATCACTGAGGCATCTGAAGTAGATCCAGAATCATGAACAGTTCTGTAACAGCAATATTCATTTCAGAACATTTAAATGCACATTAAGGTGGTATCTGTGCTTCATCCTTCGTGCTGAACACACAATGGCAACATGCAATGTAATGAAGGCTATAAGCCCATGTTTCCCTTTAATGCTCCTTGAGTGCCTTCACACAGTGCTATAAATCATACGTGATATACCGTTGTTTAGAAATTTGCACTTTTTAAACTGCGGATAAAGCTGTTGATTAAATGTAGGGAACCTAAAATCTGCATTTTAATTTTACAGAGTGTCAGTGGCTCCAGTGTTTGAAAAAAATGGTAATGATGTGAGACAACTTCTGTTCTCTTCTCTTTTAAAGATCGTCCTGGTCTAACAAGTGTGGAGAGAATCGAGAAATGCCAAGAAGAGTTCCTCCTGGCTTTCGAGCACTACATCAACTACCGCAAACATAACGTGTCACACTTCTGGCCAAAACTCCTCATGAAGGTGACAGACCTGCGCATGATTGGAGCCTGCCACGCCAGCAGGTTTCTGCACATGAAGGTGGAGTGCCCCACAGAACTCTTCCCACCCCTCTTTCTCGAGGTTTTTGAGGACTGAGAGAAGGTGGGCAAGAAAGAGAAAAGCTTGCTTTGCTATGAACTTTCTGAACTGTTTTAGCACTACTGAGTGTGATTTCATTCCATAGCATAGAATGAGCTTCTTGCCTAGACATGGATGAAAACATTCCAACAATGCGGGTACATGTGAATATAGTTTTGTTTTTTTCTTCTTTTTTTTGATGTATATTTTTATTCCAAGTTGGAACTTAATGGTATTTTGTTCATATTTTAGTATAAGTGAACATTCACTTGGTTGTCCATACCCTTTTTAAAAATCATAAACATGTTTTCTGAATTACATTTTGCCTCAAACTTCAATGGGTTTCAAAAGCCTCAAATCCAGTCCTCCCACTTTCCTAGTCTCTGCCACCAAAAAGCAATTGTTTTCTTTTAAAAAACACTGCTTCATGTCACATTTTGTCAATAACTAAAGTGAGTTTTTAAATAAGCCATACTTTCCATTCATTTCTCAAAACTGCTGGAGAGCTAGGTAACGTTTTTATTAAGAACAACTCATGGTCCTTTTTATAACACCTTTTGTTTTCCACAAACATACATGTATGAATAACAGCAGTGCACACAGATTAGTGTAGCAGACTTAAAGCCAATATATACTGTATGTGGTTTATGTTTTTTTTTACTTTTCAACTTTATGGCCTACAAATCACCAAAACTGTAGATATATTCTGTTTCTTTTAGAAGTTCTCTTCTATTCACCAGTAAGTACTCACACCGAATGAAGTAGGGCGTTAAAGGCAGTCTTGTTATGTGCTTTTGCTGAACGATGCTACTCATATGGTGCCAAAAAATGGAGAATTTAATGTTTTAGCTCCTGAAAATACATCTGTCTGCACAAGGGCACAGAAGGTGTTCTGAAATATCCTTAAAATAGATGTGTTATACAGTATGCTGTTGTTTTCTTATGTAGCCAGAACATAATGTAGGAGTACACTGTTCTTTTTGATTTATTCTCTTATGTGTTCGTGTGGTTGTCATTCAGTACTCCCCAGAAAAGTTTGATGCAGTGGAGCATTAATATTGAATTTTAGGAACTCTCGATGTGTCACCATGTGTCATATTTATTGTAATGCAGAAATTATCATAAATATGTTCAGGCAGTCCTTCATGCCAGGGGTTTAACTGTTTTGAAATGGCTGAGCCTCTTGCTCTGTCTGAAAATTGGACCTCCAGCTCTATTCCTTAAGAGGTCATAGCTATATTAGTCTTGAACTCACTTTCAAGTGAAACCAAGACTTAAGGAAATGCCTACTGTGATTTAAGCTAACAGAACATCAGCACGATGTCTATTTTTTTTACCTTTCCAAATCCAAAAAAGCCTATGTATTTTACTGAAATCATACAAAACTGCCAGTAACACAGAGAATAATTACTCTATAATAGGAAAGGGTGGGCCTTGTGAAACGTTAACCATCTGAGCTTCTACTAATTCCTCAAAGCAGCTTTTTGTTTTACGGAAATTGATGCCTTTCATGAACAATAGATTGCAGCAGTGGTAGAATGTTTTTTTCACTGGAAAACTGCACAGACTCAAAGTTTAATGCACAGACAATCAGAAAGTAAAGCTATCAAGGGTCCCAGTTTACATCAATAATGTATATTTGTATAGGTAAGGGTTAACTGGTTTTTGTTTTGGGGGTACCCTTAATGTAATACAATATCGAATTGCTGATAAAAGAATGTTATATATTCTGCATAAATCTTTTTAAAAACACCATTGTGGGTATTAACTCTTAAAGCAATGGAATATGTTATTCAATAAAATAAAAAGCACCATACAAAAGCTATTTTGCAGTATAAAGGAAAAAGGATTGTATATTTTCAGACTGCAGATATTTTCTATGTATGCATATAATGAACATTTTACTGTTTTACAAAAATGACAGAAATCTTATCTTTTCTTCAATTTATAACAAAAATATACTGTTCAGAAACTTATACATATAGGATTCCTTAATATGTTTCCAGTGTTACTTTTACCATTCCGAAAAGGGGGTTTGGAGAAAGACTGGCCCATCAGATCCCTAACTGCTTTGTAAGGAATAAAATAGCAAATACAAGCCTAACAAAACCAAGCAAAGTAGTTCTAGCAGTATGAAGTTAAATTCACCCACAAATATAAGGAACTGAAGCTGATTTAGGGTAATCTTCATGACAATACAGTGCTGGCCATAAGCTGAGCTGCAGTCTTAATAGCACAGAAATTTGGTTATTCAAGTGAAGAAGTATTTTTTTAAAAAGGACAGCATAGTTTTGTACCAAATTTAATATGTTGCACAGGGATATTAGTTTGCAGCATTGTAGAAAGATGAGATTTTATTACTATGTTTTGAACACTGCTGTATCCCATGTCTGTGGTTGAAAAGAAGATTATAAAGTTGCACTAAAGACGATTATATGTTTGCACTTAATGTGAATTGGCTCTAAAAATAAAGTTGGGTTGGAGAACTCCCTGAAATAACTAGTTCGTGTTTGTTTTCTCTTTCTGGATAGAACTTTTTTTTTAAAAAAGGCTCAAACCTTATAATGATATAAAAGCATGACACTTTCTATATCCGGAAATTGTTCAAGAAAATACGAGCATTCATAGAAAGATTTCAAGATTCAGGGTTTGTTCCAATGTCACAAGTCCAAATAAACCTTTATATTACATTTCAAAGTCAATTATAATTTTATAATTGTGTTCAATTAACTAAATTATTAGATGTATTATTTTTGCTTTTTAGTTTATTTAATTACTGTAAAGAGATTGTTTGCATTTTAATTTCTCTAAGAACATTGCTAGGAATCCAACATGACACACCTTAAATAACATTCACACAATAACAACAACAAATCAGGCTCCATAGTGCTATGAAATTCAAACCATAAATTAGCCAAATCATTTTCTTTGCTTAAAGTACAAGAAAGAATCAGAAACAATTGTACATCTAAACAGGTTCTACTGTTTGGATTCAGTATAATCTGATAATATGGCATATTGTGTGATATTTGATGCAATTAATTCATACAAACATGATAAGAAACAACTTGACATAACCACCCCTGTGATTTAGATATAATTACTATAATAGGTCTGTTTTTCTTTCTTAAATAAGTTCATTAATACTAAGTTCATCATCTTTCAAGCTACTCGCAGTCATTGAAAACTCTGCTAATGATGTTCCAGGTCAGTGGTGGATAAATTGGTTTGGTTGGTTTCCTCCAATGTTTTAATTATTTCTCAGTTCAAAGACACCACTTACACTGAGTCAAGATCTTCCTTGTAAACTCCTATTGCTAGCTATTTGATCAAAATGGTCAGTTTTAATGCTATGAGCTGTTTGCCTTTCTCATATGAACTTTCACATGAGATATACTGTATACTGTATACAGTATACACATAACACCCGAAGAAGGCTCCACAGCCAAAACATTTTTATTTTCTTCTCTTTTCAGCATGGAATAAACCTTTACTTGTTCCTTTGCAGGCTACGCATGGTGACGCTGCTACCTACGTGAACTACTTTCATATATACTGCATTTTGCAAACATATGAAATGCAAAGTTTCCACTTTTTTACATATCTTCACAACAGTATTCCAAACTGATAATACTATGATATGTAAACTTGCTTCAACTACAAGTACACTCTCAATTGCATAAACATTTAACCCCTTTGTTGCGGCAGTTCCCAATCAAATTAGATACGAAAGAATACTTCAAAACATCACAAAAGTAGTGTAATGATCTCTGTATGTAATCAAAGTCTTATAACTTGACTTTAAAGAAAACGCATCTGTCTCTACAAATGATTTCAGATTTATTTTGACTTATTCAATAGCAACTCAGACAGTAATACAACTAATCAACACAGAAGTCCTTTCAAAAACAGCTTTTAAAATAAGTCAGGGGTAAAATGGTTGAGAGGACCAGATCAGGGAAAGGTTACTTTTCTTTTGAGTGCTGTGAAGTCCATCATTAACAAGTGCAATGAGCATCATACCATCCAGTGAAGAGTACTGGGTAAAAGGAAAGAAAATTTTTAAAATTTAAATCTCATAAGATGCACTGCAGATACAGTATGTGGCAGGAGACAGAATTGAAATGTTTGGTCTAAATACAAACCAGGCACTAACTATAGTAAGCTGCCCTTTCAAAGTTACTAGCAGGGCAAGCAAAAAAAGCTTAGTGATGCCACAGTGAAGCCAACAGTAACTTTGAAAGAGTTACAAAGTTCTGTCGTAGACAGAGATGAGGCAAACATTAATAATATCCAGCTTTCTACACAAAACTGGTCTATGCAAGTGAGTGGAAAGAAAGACGTTTTCTAAAATTTAATATAACACACACTGCAGATATGTGGCATTACATACTAAGAGGAGACAAAATCGAATTTTGATCTAAACACAAAACATTACATCTGTCAAAGTCCGACACAGCACATCTCCCAATCAGCACCACCCTAACTGTTAAGCACAAACAGGATGGTGGCAGCATGACCTAATATTATGGAAGTGCTTGTCAGGATCAAGGGAAAATGGATTACGTAAAGCAGAAATGAAAACCAAAGGAAAATCTGTTTGACTCTCTTAAGAATCTAAAGCTTGGTTGAAAATGCACTCTTCAGCAAGAAGGACAAAGGTCTCAGCACAAGGCTAAAGCAATACGAAGTGGTCTACAAGAAGATTAAGTCCTGGTGTGGCCTAGGCAATGTCCTGACTTGAATCCTATTTATAATCTTTGGAAACACTCAGAAACTTCTGTCCATCAATTTTCCCCAACAATGTAAGAATTTGAACTATTTTTTCTGTAGGGATGTGTACAATTAAACCATAATAATAGTAATGATTGTCAAAGATGCTTATACCAAGACAAGACAAATTCTGAAATTTACTGTTGTCTCATAACTACCAGAAATTAGAATCTGATGTTGACATATTATCCATCTCTCATGTTTTGTTGAGATTAACATAGACTGATAAACTGTAGTCATTCCTTGAGTTGTCATGAAACCATTATGTCTTTATGAGATAATAGTGTTGTAATTGGTGTCATTTGTTAAAATTGTCATTTCCTAAAAATCTTTACTGTTGTTTTTTTCATAGAGTTCGGAAATGGGGCAAATTTTTATTAGTCACCAACTCTAGTCGGTACTGTATATGCACTATATATATACAGTATATGGACAGCAGCCATTCCTTAAACCCACCAGGTTAAAACTATCAACAAAGAATCCTTGTGCAATTTTTGTAGATATGGAATGTATATCTGAATTTTTTAGAAAATCAGCTATAAAGTTGTGCTATTTGGATATAGATAACTTCATTATATAACATAGCATTGTGCTCTTTTAGCATAACTGGTTGAATCAAGGATACGTTCAATATCATGGGATTCTGCACATCTTAGACTGAGTTTTGCACAAAGCATAACATTTTTTTTAATCTTAAAATCTAAACCAATCAAGAACTAGGAAGCTACTGGAGACCGCCCTAATTCATTTCTAGAACTCTGTATTTCACATTAAAAGCAGCTTTAACCTATCGATTGCTTTTCAGGGTGTATTACCTAAATATATTACTAATTCTGGGTAATTTTGTGTGTGATTCTGCTATATTAAGTGAAGATTTGTCTGTACTTTTCTGTCCAGAGCTATTTGCTTTTAGTGTTGTGTATTTTTATTTTCTTATTTGGTCAGCTTTCAGGTCTTTAGTATAATTTTTTTATTTTAGTAGTATTTTAGAAAAAGACTGCTTTTTGGACAAGATGTTGGTTTTCTATTCCTCTGGATTGTAATATGAATCTATGCTATCTTTCAATAATAATAATGAAAGTCTTCAAACCTCTTGAAATCTTTCCTTGCTTTGTTTAAGCTGACAATTTCGCATCGCTTTTGCTGGGTTCGGTGTGGCAGACTTTGTGTCTTGAGTCTGAGATGTTAAAAAACAGGTCCTGTATTATCTCAAATTAATCAAATGCACCTCAGCAAAACGGCTGAGCCTCCTGGAGCAGTTGCTAGTTATATCCGCAGGCTGTAGTATGAAAATAAAAGTGAGGTAGATAACAGGTGTGTGGAAAGGAGAGCTGTGAGTTGTCATTCCTAAAAAACACTGCCCTGGTTCCCTGGAACACAGTGAAACTGTGTGAAAACCACCAAGGGGATTACATAAATGAAAATGGTAAACAGATTTAGCTGTGGTAGGGAGGATTGTATGTAGACCTAGAGTCTGAAGAAAGACCGTCTGACATATTTCAGACGGATACAGAGCCTAGCTCTGGCATCCAGCCACCCCTGCAATGAGCAACTGACTCATGGCAGTGGTTGGATTCAGATTTCAAAGACAAGCAAACAATACCTCCCTGTGTGCAGCAGATATCAGTTCCAAGTAACTGGAAGAGATTCATTTGCAAATGGCTACTTTTACCAGCATTTGAGAGCAAATGATGTCTTAAACACATCAGCAGGTGTGGAGACTGTATATGGTATGGGTTTATGCTGTTGAAGTGTTTCTCCGGACTTTGAAAATGTACCTCATAAAAAGCTTACATTTTGATATGACATTTTTGTCGCAGCTTTAAACAACTGTAAATTCCCCAATCTTGCTGTCAATGGAAATTCTCTCCCTTACCCGTCCTAGCAATGTTGGATATGTAAAAATAAATAGAAATTCCAATATGCAATATACTTAACAGAACTGTTTTTGATTAAGAATTTAAGCATAAGAAGCAGTGTGTGGTTTTGTTTTCAGAAAATCATTTTGATTGCTACAGTACATATTTTGGCCTGAAAGCCTGTGGTAAAATGTTCTAATTTGTATACTGACAGGACAAAAAAAAACATGAACAATGTTTTTGATCATTTACAGAGAGGTGTGGGGACAGCATAGTGATAACTGCATAATGTATGCATCTACTAAGCTCACTAAACTCCATGTAATTATTTGAGATGCTCTGCTGCAGCCCCTTTGAGTTTTTGCCTAATCTTGCATGAAGTTTGCACTCTGTAAGTTTTTTGTTGCTGTTATTATTAATATTAACGAAAAGAAAATTGCTTAACTGAAATAAAAAATTACCCTATTGACTGTGCTCCCAATACTATTGGAAGACAATGTATAATTATCCCTTGTCCCTTTGTATTTGTGTATATGTGTTTACTCTGCAATAGGTGGATTTAGTGTGAAGTGACTTCAGGTTCCAAGTTGCCATCCCACATAACAGGAATACAGTTGATGGACGGATTTGTGAATTATCTCTCTGGCCATCAGTGATTTGGAAGAATTCCATCCATCCATTTTCTAACTTTTGGGAGAGCCAGAGCCTGTCCTGGCAAGCAACTGGTGCAAGGCAGGATAGACCTTTAACAGGATGTCAGTCCTTCACAAGGCACTCACAGACACTTATAAGCCAATTAACCTACCAGTTTTGTGAAGTGGGAGGAAGTTGGAGCAGCCATAGGAAACCCATGTGAACACAGGAAGA